CTAGTTCTATTTAATGTGTTATGGAGCCGGCTGGAATAAACAGTGATTGTGTAGTAGGGTGGGCCCGGGAAGGTCATGTCCATTTTTGTTACATATGCAATAAACTCTCACAACTTTAGTCTTCTGTCTCGATTTGTTTTTTTATCGTATCCTGTATGTTTTGAAAGACGGTGTTAAAATATACAGTGGGAAAATGAGCAGTTTTCTCAGTTCAGGTTGAACCACCGAGGTTCAGCTGAGTTTTCAATTACAGGTAGTCCTCAACTTATGACCACAATTAAGCCCAAAATTTATGTTGCTATGTGAGATGAACCACAACAGTGTTCAATTAGTAACACGGTTGTTAAGTGAATCTGGTTTCCCATTGACGTTGCTTGCCAGAAGGTTGCAAAATGGGATCACAGCACTTTGGGACACAGCAACGGTCATAAGGATGAACCCGTTGGCAATTGTCTGAATTTGGATCACATGACTACGGGGGTGCTGCGAACGTCGTAGCGATGAAAAACGGTCCCAAGTCACATTTTTTTCAGTGCCTTTAAATGGCCACTAAACAAACTGTTGTAAGCCGACTACCTGTACTAGAGAGGGCTTAACGGGGTTTGTAAACAGCGAGCATCTCCCTAGCACTTTGTGTGATCCTTTAATTGGGAATCATAACCAGAGTCGTCTTCCAATGCAGAATAAGAGCCCTTCAGGTCATCCTCGTTTAGCAACTGTCTCCTTTAGCCACCATGGTGATGGTAATGAAAAAGTAGCTTTAACACCCAGTCCTCGCCCTTATGATCTTTGGGCGTTGTAGTTCTAATACATCAAGCAACCATCTTGGACACCCCTGCTATAGGCATGCTAGGGGGTGTTTTTAAGGACAGTTTGTTATAATTGACATGCAACGCTAGAAGGCATACATAAAAACTACCTAATAACCCCTCCTTCCAAACTTAAAAATGCCATAAAACAATCTTTAAAAAATGAGTCGCGAAGTAACTTGATGCTGTACTTGGGCAAAACTCAGGTTTTTTTTTTAAGAGCTTTCTGAAAGGCCTCCAAAATCATCCAAATCCAGAGAGAATCGGGGTTCCATAGGGCAGTCTCGCACACAAGGCCCATCTCCTGGGTCCTGTCAGAGGATACACTTCTAAGTGATGGGCCCTGGATCATGACCACCTATCCCATCTTCCTGATTGGATGCAAGCAATTGGAGACCACAGGTCCCACAGCAGTGGTCGCCAACCAGTGGGCCAGGGACCACTGGTGGTCCATGAGAAAATTTTCGGTGGTCCACAGAGAAAAGACATCCCCAAAGCAATTAATCCAGGCTGCGCGGGAAGACAAGGCTGCGCCGCCCACAGGAACACAAGGCTTGCATTGCGAACAACAAGGTAGTGAGGGGAGGAACTTGCCCCACTCGTCCCACATGCGGCCACCGGGCTGCTTTACGCTTCTTCTGCTTTTGGCTCTTTGGGATCCTGCAAGGCCTCCTGCTCCAAGAGGCTGCACCAGCGCAACAAGTCTCACAAAGACTCATTTCTGGTGGAGTTTGGGGGAGAGAAAGCAAGACTTCTGCTCCTGCTGTTTTCCTTGCATGAAGCCAAAAGTCTCTCTCTCTCCCCCTGAGAACGGAGCTGGAGATGGTATCCTGCGATCCCAAATAAAGAATGATCGATCAGTAGGAAAATGGGGAGGGGGGTTTTCCTGCAGACTTTTTGGGGAATTTTCCCAGGGTCTCTGATCCGTACGACTGGTAAACATTGAGGGGTGCCCATAAGTTCTTAGGGGTGCTGTGTTCTAGACCAGCGGCGGCTTCCAAATAGAGCAGCCCCATCATCCTGAGTCACATGATAGTCATCCAGACAAGAGTGAGGAAAGCAAGGATTGCGAGAAGAGCCCTCCTGGTCTAGGAATGGAGAAACCAAGATGCGTCAACATTGCCCAACCATCTATTGAAGCCTGCCCTCCCGCAAAAATCACTAGCATGATTAATGTCAATTGCTTATTTAGCATCCTATGACTATATCACTAGTTGTATCTTATGATGTATGATGAATGCATTTTATGATGATGATTTGTCACTTGTTGCTTGTATGTACACTTGAGAGCTCATGCGCACCAGAGACCCAATTCCTTGTGTGTCCAACCACACTTGGCCAATAAAGAATTCTAAAAAAAGAAAAAATTCTTTCATATGTTGCAGAAACTGGCTACGCTTTTCGATCTCTCCCTGTTTTTGTGGGAAGCCAAAACGTTCAGGCCAGCTGGGCTGCTACTTCCTCCTTCCTCTGGTTGAACAAACATGCCCTTGTGACCAACTTTAAACCTTAGCCTCTGGCAAAACAATACTCCGGCAAGCTGCTCAATTGGCCAGATTAATGTTGTTCGCCTTTCGGCCTCGAGCTGTTCCGTTTGCCTGCCGCTCCCACCTGCACACATGGGGTAAAAGGTAATATGTGATCCATTTGAACACATCGCTGTGGGTTGTTTTTTCCTCGTGGCCACGCAGTTGCAAAACCTTCCAGACTGCACAATGGATGGCTTGGGTCCAAATTTTTTGACAGGATGCAGAGGTTGGTTGCTTTGAAGTAAAACGTTCACTGCCAGCAAAAAGCCCCAAATTTCATGTGTTTTTTCACCTAGGTACTCGATCTGTTTTCTGGGGTGACCCAATACACGACCCAAAACAGTCCAGATCAGTGTTTTCCAATCTTGGCAACCAGAATAGAATAGAATAACAGATTTGGAAAGGACCTTGGAGGTCTTCTAGTCCAACCCCCTGCTTAGACAGGAAATCCTATACCATTTCAGACAAATGGTTATCCAATCTCTTCTTAAAAACCTCCAGTGTTGGAGCATAATACAACTTCAAGTTGTTCCACTAGTTAATTGTTCTTCCTGTCAGGAAATTTCTCCTTAGTTCTAAGTTGCTTCTCTCCTGGATTAGTTTCCATCCATTGCTTCTTGTCCTGCCCTCAGGTGCTTTGGAGAATATCTTGACTCCCTCTTTTTAATATTTATTTGATTTATTTGATTCGTCAATCGCTTACAAGATAATAGGAATAAGTATAAACATGAGTAAGAATACAGGAAATAGGTATGAATAAATGGGGACAATAGGACAGGGACAGTAGGCACGATGGTGCACTTATGCACGCCCCTTACAGACCTCTTAGGAATGGGGTGAGGTCAATGGTGGATAGTTTGAGGTTAAAGGAATGTGTGTGTGTGTGGGGGGGGGTTTAGAGGATGTAACAACAGAGTCAGGTAGTGCATTCCAGGCATTGACCACTCTGTTGCTGAAGGCGTACTTTCTGCAATCAAGTTTGGAGCGGTTTACATTGAGTTTACATCTGTTGTGTGCTCTTGAAGCTGAAATAGTCATCGACTGGTAGGACATTGTAGATGCATGGACCAACTCCCACAATTCCACAGCACAGCGTTGCTGAATCAGATCAAGACAGGCGCCTGTCTGTGAACTCTCTCATTTTCCCAGAAGCAATGAATTTAATTTAAAACCACCTCCCTTCCAGAATTGCTCCAGTCAATATTCGTTTTTGATCGTTGAGCCCCACCTGGTGGATAACATGTTAGGGGAAAAATACAAGCTATTATACATTGAAATATTAATTGTAACCACTTTGTAACCAGAGATAAACCATTGGGGAGGGCAGCAGCAGCTTGAATGCTGAATGTTCTGGCAATTTTAAAGAAGCATGGATAAGCCGAGTCTTCCATCAGGATTTTTCAGAACCTGGATATTTTGAACTACAATATAAGGTCCCTAGCCATTGAAGCTTTTTGAAAGCCATCACTCTGCTAAACAAATAATTCCCTCAACACTGTTCAACTATTTACAAAGTCTGCACTACTATTACTATTAATCTTCTCATCACTCCTTATCACCCCTCCCCTCCCACTTGTGACTGTATGACTGTAACCTTGTCGCTTGTATCCTTATGATTTTTATTGACTGTTTGCTAGTATGATTTGATTGCTTATGACTATCAAGTTTTGAACCTTATGATTCTTGACTCTTGAATCTTTTGTGTGTACTGAGAGCATTTGCACCAAGACAAATTCCTTGTGTGTCCAGCCACACTTGGCCAATAAAGAATTCTATTCTATTCTGTTCTATTCTATACATTAAAATGAAATTGTGTTGCATGCAGCTCTCAAAGGGTCACCACCTCCAATATACACTACAGAAACATGACAAAATATAAAATAAATAAAAATAGATTAGATAGTTTAGATTGATAGAGGTACATATAGATAGATAGAGGTAGATATTGATAGATTATATAGATAAAATAGATTAGATAGAGATAGATTATTAGATAGACAGAAGATATAGATATAGATAACAGATTAGATAGATAGCTAGATAGAGGTAGATACTGATAGATTATATAGATAAATAGATTTTATATAGATAGATATAGAGATAGATAGAAAGATATAGAAAGAGACAGAGACAGATAGACAGAAAGATAGATAGAAAGAGATAGAGATAGACGGATGGATGGACGGATGGATGGATGGATAGATAGACGGATGGATGGACGGACGGACGGATAGATAGATGGATAGATGTCAAGCCTTGCAAGGTGCTGGTAATCCTGGCCCATCTCCCTTTAGCCTGACCCGCTGGAGCCTCCCCTGCCTTCACCCCCACCCGCCCCCCCCCCCCCCAGCCAACTTCAAGCAGGGCAGGCGAGGAGGGAGGCTCACCACATGCTCCACCGAGGTCACGTGAGGGCCGGGGCCAGCCGCGGCTCTCTCTCTCTCTCTCTCTCTCTCTCTCTGGTGCGGCGCCTCTCTCCCTCCGCGCGTTCTCTATGGCCCGGAGCCCCGCATGCGCGCTCCCCGCCCCGCCCCCTCCGGCGGTCACGTGGAAAGCGCCTGGTGGGGCGGCGCTGCGTGACTCGCGCGCGCGGGCGGCGGGGGGGGGGGGGGGGGGGGGGGGAGGGGGGGGGGCCGGGGAAAGGGAGGAAGCCGGAAGCGCCGGAGGAGCCGCCGCGCGAGGGGTCGGGCCGGAGCGCGAGGGCCAGGCAGGCAGGCCGGCCTGCGAAGGCCCGGACGGGGCGGCCGGCGAGAGAAGGAGCGAGCGGGGCAGCGGGCGGTGAGTGACGGAGCGAGAGGGGGGAGGGGTCTCTTCCTTTCCTGGGGGGGGAGGGG